ACATACTGACTCGGAACACAACCTGCCTGAATTAGCGTCGCACTTAATCTTTTCCTGTGAATGTTACTATGCGTCAAATACACCTCTCGAAGGATGCTGCCTAAGCTAATGCAAAAGATACCCCAGATCTATCTATAAACACTGCCATTCGGACTGCTAAACAATTCAACTTCTATTCCCATCGGCTACTACAAGTACTGCTAATGGAATTAATCTATAATCCCTTTAAACATAACATGGTGAGCTGAAAGTGTATTGATTTAGACAATCACCTAAGTTATATAAATGTGAATACTCACCGATAATTCCGATAGTATAATTTGGTCCTTTAACGGTTAGCAAAGCTGAAAGCTGAAGAACTTTCTGATGAATGGGTGGTCATATTACTAAACAACAAAGTAAACACATGGACAAAAAACATCGGTTGCTTATAGAGCAAACTTCGAACATTGTGCGCTTTTGTTCCCAGCAGTGGGACGTATCTGTGCGATGGGAGATGAAAATCCATGTCCATCTCATGAATTGCAGCCAGTTTTAACAAGATCATGTACGCCGGTGACTTAATACGTTAGTTATTCATTACTAAATACCACTTCGTAAATTTTCATGAATTATCAGTTCGACGATGCTTCTAAACTGGTATCTCTCATGTTAAGTCCGTTATATGAGGATGATATTTACTGTTATCTAAACTCTAACACTCTTTGTATGCCGGAAAGTGATACTTTCCTGTTCGTTTCATAACTAGCAGGATCTTCTGCTACTTTCAATAGAGTTTAATGGCATTCGGTCTGTACCATTCTGGACTTGTAAAATCTTGTAGATTTTTCAGCATGTATCAATGTGATGATGCATGTAAACTGGCTCCCCTCTTATTGGGTTGCTAATGTGAGAATGAAACACACACTTTCTTCTGCGGCTAACCCCATGAAATGAGAGAAATTAACCCTAGTCTTTGTTTACTGATGAAGCTTTTGTAGCCCTTATCTTGACTTTGGCCGGAGACAATCCGACAACTGCCCTAAAAAAGAAACTCAGTTTTCCGTCCCACCTTTTGTCCTTCTGTCTTTTGCTTGCCTGGACTTCGATCACCCGCAAAATTCATTCTTCAGCAATACATGCCCTTTGCGAGGCCAAGTTTTTACCTAATTTTATTGTCTAGATGTCAGCAGTACCATGCTTTTCTCATTCTTGTTGTTATCGTGCAGACAACTGTCATTGCCCTTACCACTATTGTCTAGGTATCCATCACCTTGTCACTACAAACTAAGGTACCTGTCACGACTGATGCAAGGTTTTACGCATGAGAAAAGTTATATGCTTAAGCGCTAAGCCTGGTGTGAGGTAACTGAGAGCAATGTTGCTCACCTATACATCTTCAAATTTTGACTGCATATTTCCGTCGTATTAGAAATAGCTGAGAGAAATTTTCAGTTGTTTCGCCCCAGCATTCTGATATGTTCCAAACGTTTTCCCAACCAACTTAGCCCAGTTGTCTGAGAATCTCAGTGGACGATTGTGTGCTAGAGGTAGGTTTACGCCGTGGTTGTAAGAAGAATTTATACGCAACGGTGTCACTCTGTGGATTTCATAGTGCTCGTAATCAATTACCCTTACCAAATGAAATACTGCAAACGGAAGACGTTTTCTCTAGCAGGCGCTGCATACTTTGATATATAGTGAACCTGAGACCAATACATAATGTATCGCCGTCTGGACTACTGCTCCCCCAGTACTTGCTACTACGAATTATAGTAACTGTTTTATATGGGATGAATCTATATTTCTGCGAAACGCAAACACTGAGGAGCCAGAAATATCTGAAAGAAGGCATTCTTCCTGCTCTTACAGCTGCTCAGATATTTAATGATTCCCTAAACAGCAGAAATGTGCGCCCTTTGTTCACATACCATGACGAGAATCTTGGTGTAGCTCGTAGCGAAGATGCGAATTTCAGCAGTTCCAAAACCCAAGTGAAGGGAAATAAATCCAGAGCAGTTGGCAGTCAAACAACGAACATATACGCTAGTAGCAAGGCAACTACGAACAATTGTTCTTTTCAGCAAAACATGGATAAAAAATTATCTGAACCTTCAGTTTTGCGGCCTATACCGTTTATGACCATGGCGTAATACCACGGTGCCGCCGACCATGACAGGAACTTCGCCATAGTTGGACACTGTTGTATACCCGAAAGCCGGCAGGAATATTTCCGGCAAAATGGATCAAATGCTTGTCCACGAGGGCCAAATCAAAAAACAAAGGTTCACAGTAGACAGTCATGTTACAAAGAGCCACCTTACAGCATGGCTTCGGGTTGAGCTAAAGAAACTATGTCGGGAACACTTAAACAAAGCCATGTTGTTAATGGTCCAGCGAAACGTTGGATCAAGGTACAGCACCGAGGATAGGTCTCAACGAAGATAAAAACAAATAATGAGTGGTGAGTCACAGAAGACGGACAAACAACAAAATTATACCGCACCTGCCAGAGGTAAAGGATAGCACATACAGAGATGGCGAAAGTATTCAAACAGACACCAGTACCGTCAAACGAAGTGCCCGGGAGGGACGAAAGCTTGAGGCCAATACTTCCGCTGTCACGTTTTTCGTATTTCATCTATTGTTAGTGATGAGAAGTCCGTATATGAATATGTGCATGTGGTTTGTCATTCGCTGCTCTGGACGTCCGAAAAACCTTCGTCAGCCGTTTTCCCTGGCCACATCAACCTTGTAGTTGGTGGACGCGACTCTTTCGCTCTCGTGATGAACCCCAGGCTTTGATAACAATGAAGTTGTTGTTTTGAAAACAGTATTCGTTTCTCAACATTGTGCTTTTTTGCTGTGAGTGGAGTGATGGTGCACGGCGATGGGTAGTTTCAACACAGGTCTGTTCCCTAAGGAATTTAATTTCGTTTATGGCCAAAGCGCCTTCCGACGCTGAATGGTTCGCCTACAGTGAGAAAGACAAAGCAACAAGCAAACCACCTGCTGGACAGCAGTCACCGACTTCTCTTTTATGATAATGACAATAACAGCTTTGTCACGAACAACATACTCAATACACAGTGAAATTCTCAGCATGTAATGTTTTAACCATTCCGCTCTCATAACAATATGATGACCGCATATGAACGGTGTCTGCAATAAGATCACTAAAGATAATGATGTGAAGTAGATGGTCGTTGTTTGATTAGCACCTGGCGATTAGTGGTGGTGTCTCATTCAACTAGTACAAGAATAGGCAGTTCTAGATCGATATAAGAAGGATAAAAACATGGAGAACGTTTGTGCATTCCAAAGTCCACCTCCGTCTGACATGAAATATTTCCCTCATTTGTTGTTAATTGGAAACACAGCTAGTTTAGAAGGCGCTGGGCCTTTGGCGGAGATAATTTTAAAAATATTTGGAACACCTGTACAGTCGGGGGTTCTGCAGCAAGGTTAATAGAATACGACCGCAGTGGAGGCCATCGAAGTCGGGAGTATACCAGGGAGCGATCGAAGAACCATTTCCGTTCTTTCTTTTTGTCAGTTATCTGCCACGCAAAATCTTCTCACCCATCCTCCTCTTCGCTGATGACAATAACATTCTGAGGATAGTAAACGGAGAGGCCGACTGCCCAGCCCTACAAAGTGACCTGCAGCAACTTGAACTCTAGTCGTCGGAAAATGGTTCGAGCTTTAATCTGCAAAGGTGAAAAGCAATGCACATCAGCAGACATGAACCAGGGAAGGCAGACTTTCAGTACATGTTGGGCAACCACACTATCACCAGAGTATCCACGCAGGAAGATTTGGAGCTCAACTTCTCTGACGCCTTGAACGCCAGTTCTAACTACAAAGATATGGCAACCACAGTGAACGCCATTTTGCACCCTTCGCGTAGACAGCTTGACGCCGCCACCCCACCGTTTTCAAACCCCGTGTACGGCCGCACCTAAAGGTCTTCAGTATAGTGGCCCCCAACACCCAAGAGAGACTCTAATCTCCTTGAAAAAATACAACCAACTGCAAGAAAATCAGTTGTGGGGCTGGGTGGGAAGGCATATCTCGCAAGACTAAAACAACTACACCTAGTCACCTTGGGCTATCACAGGAAGGGGGGGGGTGGCCTTATCACGGCCTACAAGACCGTCCGCTAGGCAAATCACCCAAACAAATTGGCCTTGCCTGCGACAGCGGCCAACACAAGATAACCCAATTAGGGTAACAAATCGGAGGGTCAATGCCACGCTCGGGCTCAACTTTTCTCCCTGAGAGTATGTGCTTTATGGAATACCGTACCATGGGACATCGTCAAAGCCCCCTCAGTTGACTCGTTCAAGAGACGGCTAGACAGTTATGTCAGTTCACGTGGTCTACTATGGACGTATCAAGGGGATTACTGACCTCACTAGCCCACCTTCACTTCTCTTTTGCCTACCACTCACTATCTCTCTTCTTAATACACCCACAGCACCAATTAATTCTTCTTTAGAAACTACACCTGCTGCATCTACTCTTACCCTTCGGACAACTCCCGCATGCCGTTTTTCTTTGTTCTCCCTCTTTCTTTTCCTTTTACGAATGCCTCACTATGCCGATTCGAGTAACCACACTGACAATAGTCACGTCCGTCACATAGCCTACCCAGCAATCCGTAGCTCCACAATCACACCAAAGTTCGCAACTTTCTAACCCACAAAACATCCACCTCGCCAAACCTAAAAGCAAGAAAGCAGGCGGCACTTCCTCATCCACTGTAAAGTGAACCTTAAAGCCCGAACCGAGCCATAAGAACCAGACGCGAGAGATCAAGAACGATCAGATTTCTAAGCTCGTACTATCAATATTCGACATTGGTTACTCTCTCTGACTGATATGAGCGTTTAGAATGCTTATTTATGAAAAAGCATTGGAACTCCAGTTTTATAAAACTGTCAAAAATTCAAAATGATGAATATATACACCTCTCATATTTCTACTAATTGAAGATTGTTGGTTTGATGGCCGTTGCCAATGTTTTTTGAAGCGCTGTTTTCAGAAGTCAAGGTCGTTATTGTGAAAGGCCAAGCAGATGCCGCTGCCTAACTTTGACTCAATAAAGAGTATTGCTGTCGGTAAAGACAACACAAATAAGCAGCAAGTAATATTTTGTTCAAAATTTAAAACATCTGTAGGCTTTGCATATTTTAAAGGCAATTACAGATCAAGAAGTTCCACCGAAGCAAAAACATATTCGTGCGATTATCTTGGCGACGTTTAGCGGAAGATCATCATCCTTTTTCTACGATACGACACTGAGGCTTGCAATATATACCAATCCTGTTGTCTGTTGGAAATTTTTGTACATTATTCATAAGCTATTTCGAGATGGACATCGTGAAGTAAGCTGATCCACACATTAACATAGTTTCAGTGCGTGAATGATGGCCTACGTCATGCAACCAGAGTAGCACAGTTACAGTCTGCTTGGGTAAATTACTAGTGTTTAGATGTGACATAGTCTAGAGTAACCATGCAACAAAGTGTGGGTATCCGATTGTCGACTTCTGCCAACTTATAACGCGTAAATTACGTTTACATAGAAAGGTATTCAAATTAACCCTATCTACATCTGCATCTTAGTATGGAATATTGCCTGGATGTCTGGAACTTAATGCTAGCGAACTGAAAAACTGTCTTTCTGCCCAAGCCGATCATTTGTAAGTGTTGGTTTACTTCTTTTTTCTCTTGATTCTTTTTATTCCTACCTTCATTTGTTATCATTTTCGCTATGGAATTTTCAGATTACGAGTTTCAAGGCTTTCGGGATACCGATCATGCTGTATTTCATGTAGTTAAGGTAACGAGCACACTCAATATTTACCAAACAAAAATTCTTCACTGTTGACCTCATGTATAGATAAATGATAGCGTATCAGTTCAGTTTTAGTTTACTCAAATGTCTAATCAATTCTGACGAAACAAAGTATTTCTACTTTTATATTTTCATGAGACGGTTGGTTTTAAGCTATAGCATTTAAAGTGATGATAAAAGATAGCTGCTTCAACCGAATGAATTGTCCTAAATCAACGCGTTTGAGTTTCTGAACGCAAAAAGCGCACTGTGAAGACGGTATGCCGTATTTACGGTGTAAAAACCATTAAACATAGTATTTCTGGCTCAGAAATTCTACCAGTTCATCGTTGGGGTGTCATTGAAAAACGTAGGACAACTTCACTACATATATTCACCAGACGTTTTTGAAAGCAATTTTCTGTGAGTTGAAATTCATACTAGATTAAGCAGTTGTTTGATGGCACTCATTTCCGACTCGCATTTTTTGGCACTGTTGTGTATTTACCAAGTTATTTTGGGTCTTGGTTACATATATTCTGATCAACTTTCTCACCACTCAGTCACGGCACCTAAACCGTATTTAAGTCGAAAATAGTTTCGATTTTGGGGAAATTTTCTACAAAACCATTCGGGCTGGTAACCAAACCAACCGTACGGATTTTCATACCTAACTCACCTGGCATCTAGTTACTTTGACCTCAATGGTTTAAACATCGGTATAGAGGGTCATTTTCCACGACAATAACAATCTTTACTATCCAGTTATTCCGTTGTAGGCACAAATCTGAAAACGTGAATGAAATTTCAAAAGCAGGAAGTGGATGTCATTTGTCGCTACTGTCCTGTTAGCCAATCTCCAAATAATGTCATTGCTTTCTCATGGTTGTTTGATTTATTATTATTTATAACCGCTTTTCTTCATTTCTCATCAGGTTTGGTATTGAGGGTGATCGTTTCTTTAAACGTCTGAGTCGAAATTAACTCACGAACTGCATTAAGATTTCGGTAAAAGCAGCTCATTTTGCTCACAAACCACACAAAGTCGCATGTAACTGTGTGTTATCTAAGGATGACAAATAAATTTTTGGGTTAGAGCCAATGGATTCAATGAGAAACGACACACGATGGCTACTGTGATCAGTTAGAAGTCATTGGGAGAAGGCGACATATTGGTAACCTGATGTAAGCATATGGGGATACAGGTATTGCTGGAGTTGCTGCTCAACTTCGAAGCAACAGGTATTGATTTCAAACGCTTATGCACCTACTTCAGTTTGGGGAGGTGGGTGGTATCATTTTCGTGAAATTTAGTGATAGTGTTTGTGGGCTTTGCTAAGTCTCAGCTGCAGCAGTAGTCGCGATGTTGAACTACTATTATTTTTTAGTATGACCGTAGTTAAAGGGTGATATCGTTAGTTCCCGGATTTTGGCGAAGTGTAAACTATCTGACTAGGGTTTCCGGGACGATAAAAACCAGTGGTTAAGGACCTGAGGTGAAATGGTCAGAAATTGATCACAGTGTCGCAGATGTATTTACTCCCTGACGTCTTTTAAACCTTGGGTATACGCAGTTACCTTCATCTTCAAATTGTTCATTCTCTCGCACAACTTTGTCTACTTTGATATCATTCTTTTTCTGTGTATTTGTTTTTTGTATACTACCCTGATGTGTGGCAGCTTGAAACGATTCGCTTGTTTGTGAGATTCTAGGTTGATTTTGTCTGTCTGTTTTCGGCTTTATTTGAATGACAGTAGTAGTCGAATTGTCGAACTAATATAGGTCATTAGTAAAGTGATAAACCCAGAGATAAACCCTTATTCTTTCATTTCATTTTCATGGCACGAAACTGAATTTCATAACTTCTGTGGGTTTTCGGTGTATTATTTCTAGTCGAATGACAACACTCAGAAACAGTATCAAGTTGGGAAGATACCAAGGGTGGCCAGACCAAAATGCTATGTCAGTCCGTGAATTCTTTAGTTGTTGGTCCGAATTTTGCATCGAGTGCTAGGCCCCCTGATATATATCGTCGAGATAATAGGGTTAATCTGCTAGAGACTCTTGGTGACAACTCAAAGTCGTTCACAATGGTGCAGATATATTCACTCTCTATTTGAGTATTTTGACTAAATGTTGCTTGCTTGTTCCCTATCCTCTTATAAAGTTTTTTTTGAATTTAATCTCATTCCTTCTATGTCTAATTACTCCCTATGTGGTGCTGGAAACTGTAACAACTTAAACAAGTACACGTTTGAGTTTGGTTTCATGTTGATTTGTCCGTCTTTCTGGCTGTCTGTCTGTCAAAAGCTCTCAGTAAGTTGGAGTTCACTGATGTATATACTAAAACCTGAGGTTTTGCTAAAAACATGTGGTGATGGTGCATCTTCCTCGACTTAACCTGGTGGTGAGCCTTTCAAGAACAAACTTCAAGGACTGATAAACATCAAAAATTATCGCCGTTGATATTTTGTTTTTTATGTATGTTACATGTTGATTACCCCTGAAAAATACAAAAATATGCAAATGTTTTTAGTAGTAAACAGTTTTCAAGTGGGCAGTTACATTTGAACATAAAAGGGGGTCATACTAAAATGCCATGCGTCTTAACAAACAAACCATATGTAAAAATAAGATGGACATTCTAGAGTTTTTTTTAATATCATATCATCTATCACTAATCACAGGTTTCCAAACTGCTATTCTGTTTCTAAAGGTTCCAATTTAGTGTTGACCTTATGGATATGTTAGAAGAAATTTTACGATTCAAGGATGTTGTTATTCTTTCGGTGGACGGTATTCAAACTGCGTCATTCAGTCCACCTGGTCAATGTAAACTTATACCTCTTATACAATGCATTCAAGATGCTGCAGCTCTGTATGAATTAATCATACAGGTTATCTTCAAATTACATGAACTACTGGGCAATGGAACAATGTCTGGTCACAGGGATCGCTTTAAAGATCTTCATGTATCAATCAAGAAATTCTTCGAAAGTGTTTTTCATATGCATTACTTTCGTTCGTTTGTTCACATACCTTCGATCTCGCAGGTCAGTTAGTGGAATAACTTGCTAATTCCCTAAAACTTATTTCATAACTTTGATGTTTTATTTGAATGACTTTTTTGCTGGGACTATAAAATTTGCCACCCGTGAATTACCTAAAAACGATCTTGAAGAGACCAATCACATCAAAAGGGACTGTACAGTTGGTCTGAAAAACTTTGAATTATCGAAAAGATGTTGTTTATAGGTAGCTTTATACAGAATTCTTGTGATGAAAATCACGATTGAATCGTAGTGTATTATTTTTTAGATAGTCGTCTTATACTCTGCTGATTTAGCGCGGTTTGCATGAGCCTATATTTCCCATAAAGGATAAAAAATATGGACAAGGTGTTTATACTCTAATATACTTCATTACTAGCGCCTATAATGAAAAGAGGAATTAATCGTTGACGTTTCTCTGTTTCTATTTATCTTCCAATTTTTTTTACCTTAAAATCTGTAGTTGTTTACCTAACTTCATGAACCTGATTATAAATATCTATTTCATAGTTATGGATAATGTTCTAGAAGAATTTGAACGCTAAGTCCAATTTATTCACTATATAAGTGGGTTTTAATATAATCTCAGCGTGTTTAGATAACCAAAGTGGTATTTATCTGAACGTTTCGCAGCTTCAGCCGAAGCTGAAGTATACGCATTAGTATATCATAAACCTGATGTTTTTTTTAAATTCTCAAAATTTAATTATTAAGTATTTTTAAAAGTAATTAAGCAGCGTTAGAGGAACACTTCGAGGATTATTTACATTCATATCATAGCTCAGGTGAATTAGTGTTATGGACGCACATAGATAAATATCTTTATCGTTAATACTCTTACTTTAATCAGTAAGAAGCAATCCAAAACTTAGATGAGTTCCTAAACATCGTCGGGAGAGCTGTACCTACTGTCATTTCCTTTTATGTCTATGTTGAAGGTTAAAAATAAGCAAGCATCTCCTTATTAACGCGCCCAGTGTCATTTGTGACCCCCTCAAGAACGGTAAACGTTTATTGTTCCACCTTTTTTACACAGTGATCAAGATATCAATCCTTTTCCCACCATTAATCGTTGTGTCGGTAGGTATCCAAGGTTAATGATGTCATAAGTTTGTTTTGAGTCACAAAAATGCAACTTAGTAGCTTTTAGTCTTCTTGTCAGTTCATCTCAAGTTAATATAATTTGGCACTAGTTAGCGGTGAAACCACGAGTGCGTCCTACCATACGTTGCTTACTTGGGTATGTCTGCATCCCAATGAGCGTTAGCGTTCGCATTGAAAATCGAAACGGACACCTCGGGTACCCGAAAGGTGTGTATTAGGCTGAAACGATCAGTAAATGCCTCTTTTTCAACGAATAGTGTTTGTTAATTAATCTCTGAAATGTTTCACTGTGTATCGGTAAGATGAAATGAACCAGTCCTTGTGAGTTAATTGGTTTCTTACTTGAAGATTTTGATAGAGCCTTTCATTGTACTGTGATACCATATGGCTTTTTTGACAATATAGTCTAGGATGTGCTTTTCATCCTTTTCACTAACGACAATACCTACTGGAATATGTACTCATGCGACTGATGTGCTCTTGGTGAGAAAAAACGTATGTTGCAAATTCCACTTTTAGTCGTTATCAGATAATATTCAGAGTTGATGGAAGACTATATAGCATTGCTTTCTATTGAATTCATTTATTTAGTCAGTGCATACATTTGCCTTGATATGGAATAAATATAAATGCCGTTAGTTTTGAAGTATGAAACAAGTGTAGAAAATATATCAGGTTAAAATTGACCTTTATATGAGTAGTAGATTAAACTGACATCTTTTCTTAATAAACTGCTTTCTTTTATTAGTGTCACATAGGTGGAAAAACCATACAACTTCTAGCTCATTCATGCTTGCTTAGCATAAAGGTATCGTAATGGTTAGCTTGAAAAGTATTGGTAACATTTTTATCCTACAGCCGAAAAACGCAAACAAATAGACAAAGTAACCTGGAATTTCGGACGACTCTGAGTTTCATTAATCTGAATAGCTTCTGCATTGTACACAGCAATAGAAAAAAACTAGAAATAAGACTGATTAACCAAACGTGGAAAATGACTGGGTGTGTAAAAAATAGTCATTACTTACAACAAATAAGGCGTATATTTATTAGCGCTGTCATATAACATCCTCAGCTTACCAATTTTATCTTTATCCCTCACCTTAGTTGGCAAGCCTATAGCTACTGACACTGCTCAAGTCATCTGAAACTGAACTCATGGTTCATAACCATAGTTTCAATCATCTCAGGGTTATATCTGTCATACTGCATCTAGAGAAACATAATGTGGATAGTGACTCCCTATGTACATGTCTCAGCTTTTGCAGGTTTATCATCACTTAGTGAGAACTCTTTGTCTGGCATTGACACAGCTCTTAATTAATCTATGTGTTGGCAAACCGAATTAAGAACTAGCTATTTGACAAAACCTGAATTTTGGGTAGGTGAACGTCTTTTCATATAATGTGGAACCGAACTTGTTTATCCAAAACTACATACATTTCGTTCCCTTGATAAATTTGAGTAAAGCCTGAACGAACGGATTTTAGAGCGCTATGGCGTCAGCTGCATACAACCTAAAGCTATATATCTTAGCCGAAATAAATAATAATGTGTATGTGCATCAGAAAAGTGATGGCAAATCTGTAAAAATGTTGTCAAACGACCGATAACCCAAGGGAAGAAAGTTGTTGGGCAAATAAGGAAATAACTAAGCCTAAGAAAATATCTAAATAAATTTGATAAAAAGTCACTAGATAGAGAGAAAAATACTGTAAACTAACTAACAATGAGTTTCTAGGGTAGAGCAAGAATATCCCCAGTTTTTTGTATACAAAGGTCAGGTTTAAAGTGTCTGATTGTAAGAGCTTTATTTAGCTTAGTAACCTTGTCAATTTTCGCTCTTTATTATGAGTTTATCCCCCAAAAATTGTATTTGAAAGAGAGCCAAGTTTCTACAAGTACAACAGCCAAATATCTGATGGGAAATGGACACCATCTCTGAAGCTTTTGGAATAATATGTAAAAAAAATGGGCGAGATATGTAGCTTTGAGCTGTATGCAACTGATGAATGTCGTAAAGTGGAATGACATCATTTTGTTCTGCAGAGATTTTCCTCTATGCGTTGTTCGGAATTGTCTTCATACGAATGAGAGACTAAAACAAAGCATGATCTGATATAGAAGTAAAACAGTATTGATAATTATCATCGAACATGTTCATTAACGTGATGGAAAAGATTTGTGTCTCAGGATGAGTATGATAAAGAAGTTATTACCAAAGATGTCATCAAGCCTGGAGATGAAACATCTACGACCAAATAACAAAGTGTAAAGAACACCAAACCACCATCATGTTCAGCACTATAAACACGTTCAATAAAAACTACGTAGATTTTTTGGCAAAACTTCACTTACAAATAATTCTCATCGCTATGTGAATTCGGTTTTTGTGTGATCCAAGATAAGTTACTTTGCAATAAAATTTGTTAGTTTTGCAGTTCAACATTACTAAAAGTAAATTGTTGGCATGATGTTTAAACTAAATTGTTTCCACAGTTTTCCAGAGGTCCATAACGCTCATTTCCTTATTTTGAGAGATTGTAGTTACTTAGTTACTTATTTGAGTCCTACACTCACTATTCAAATATTACGGTCCCATTCTCTTAAAAGAGCCAATGTTGCAATAACCTTTTATTGTGTAACTGCGATTTTCTTTTATTATTCGTGTTATTGACTCAATGAACTGAGTCGTTTGGCCTCTGGTAACACAAAACTGATGAAAGTACTTCCTATGCATTTCCTCCTCATAGTTCGAAAAAGTTTGAATATATTATTATGTCCATATGTTTTCACTTCTGTTTTATTGTTTCCTCATGTGTTGTTTTAATGTCTGACACCTTCAACGGATGCACTTTTATGCAGTGAAGTAAAACGTCTTCGCCTGGTGACATGTGCCTTACTTACACTATCGACTTGTGTGATTCTTGGTGAGGTCATGAGTGCGCCTTGCTGAAGGGTCCCATACTGGGACGAAACAGCTGTCCAGTGCTTCCAGGTTTTCAATATTTCTCCAACTGATGTCAGTCCATAGTGAATACTAACTTGAGATCAATGAATCACCCCACCAAAAAAAAGCCCCAACTTGAAGCCATTCTGTTGTAATATAAACGCCAATTACACCAACTGGTCACCTATCTCAACCATACATAATTGATAATTAAGATGAATCTGAAAGTATTTGGCATCTTACTAACCTATTCAAATACATTTGAATAACTGTGTACAAATTCTAACTTAGCAATATGAAATATGCCGTTAGCTTATGCAATTATGCTGTAGTAATATTCACCTTATTATCTACCGACAACATGCACATTATCTTACCTATTCTTGTCGTCATAAAAGCTTACAAGTTAGTTGTGCAAATTATAATACTGGGAAATATTCTATTTTTAACTTACTGTTTTATAAAGTTGATGAGCGCTAACATTTAACTAGGTAAATTAGCCTTAATTTTGGTTGTTTTGCAAATGGAGCCTTTTTTTTTCACTTATGTGTATATATGCACTAATGATGCTTGACTTCCTATACTTTTCAGTGTATGATTTAAAATGTAAACTTTCATGCAACTGGGTACCAATAAATATACTACTTTAGATATATGTCCTTTGGTAGTATATTTCATGAGTTTATCTTTTATGTTCACTTCATTTCCTTATGTATGTTGTGGCAAAATGATTTATGATTATTGTGCATACATGTTTTCAAGACAGTTTTCTAAGACTTTTTCTGACTGTTAATTTACCTATGCGATTGTAGGTTGCTTAAAGTTTGTCTTCTTACTTTGTATATATATATATATATATATATATATACATTCTTTCACAGTCAGCATTCGTTACCTTAAATTTTTTTGTCGTTATTCAATAAAAGAAACTGTGGACTGCTTAATACCGTATTGATCCTCACTTATTCTATTATCCTCGTCTGGATAATTAAGCAGACAAGAAGCAAATGACAACCAATTAATTCCTATTGACTTCTGTAGACCCTTGATTAAGTATTAGAATGGTACACTTTGTTCTGTAAGTGACTGAAACTATCTGGTATTTGATGTAGTTATTATTGGATCGATTCAACGTACTACACGTCAAGACAACGGTCGATTTTAACTCACGAGAGGATTAAAACAAGGCATAATAGTTATTGTTGATGTATTACCGCAACCCGGTATAGGTTAACGCACCAAAATATACAGCAAAATTAATATGTACGGGTTTCTGATACTATAAGGTTGCTCAGGTAGAAATAGATCGAGTGGGTTGTGAACCAGAGATGCATTGCCGAAAAGTAAAGCGCCTAAATCGATAAACCGCACAACAGAGTTCAGAATGAATAGTTATGGGATATATTTTCAGGATTTATGATGGTATCTAATGATATGTTTAATACTGGGTCACAGTTGTACAATTGTATTCATTTTGCATCATCTTCGAAAATCTGAGTATCTTATTAATTTTCATAACTGTTCATTTTCTATACCTTCATGTTATGATATTATTATGTTGTTGTTCACTTCTGTTTTGTGCGTTGTAGAGAGAGGTGTATCAACGTCAAGCCAGGTTTTACATCAACCTGTCTACCTATCTACTCAGCCTTGATAATCTAGTAATTATTTGATCAGCAGTTGTGCTGTAACGCTATTAATCAATTTGTTCATTGAGATAATAACTAAGTTGCATTATCTTAAAAAAAATTCCGCATATTTTCTTTATCATGTGTATTACAGAATCCGCCGAATTTTTGTATTCAATCAGAATTAGGCGAACATACTACACTTAGGGTTACTATGAATGAAACGTCACTGTCACCAGTACTGGCAACCACGACAACGGTAACAACAGCACCAGCAGCAACAGCAATAGATGAAAATAGAAGTCAACCTTCTGGTGATGAAGAAGATTTTTTTGAATTGGCTATTATACCTAGAATTTTATCACCAAGCTATTCAAGTAAATCACCAATTGATGAGAAAACAGAAATATCCTCAAAAGAAACAAAACAGGTTAGAGCTTATTTCTGATTCTGTCAGCAGTGTGAGTAATTACTAACACAATATACCTTCATGCATTACGTTGTGACCCAAAACTGTATAGGGTTGACTATGTTAACTGAATAATTTAACTCTTGATGGGTGGGGCCTGTTTTGAGCATATAGTTCACTGGTGGTTGACAGCCGACTGCTCAGACTAGTGGGTTACAGGTTTACAGAAATGCCCTGAAAGCTACATGTATTGTATTAACACTAATGGTTATTAACAACTATCTAATCGTAGGACTCTGTAATAGGTTTAGAACCCACTCATCCAAAAATTAGATACCCACTGTCCATTTTCTGCTGAACAGTAATGCCGCATGTTAGACGGTTTTTGGCAATTGCCAGAAGGCCCTGAATTCAGGTTTGCTGCTTGTTGGTTCTTTCGTTTAAGTAGTGTCTGTAAACTCGCGAAAGTTGATACTCCTCAGTGATCGGAACTCGTGTCATTCAGTGCCCACAGCAAGTTAGCCACTCAATGCATATGATGCAGTCGGATTGGAAGCCGTCGGTAATCTATGCTTTCAGTGCTAGATGATGTAAGTTAGGATCTGTGGGGAGGCGTAAGTTACCTGAAGGTTGCAGATGCATCTTTCTGATGAGTACCGACAGGTTTTTAACTTTCTATCTACAAAACATGAATATCTAACATCAATCAAAATGCTGCGCAGTGGTTATTCGTTTTGTTTGTTGACAGCTTGTAAACATATTCGACAGAATTCGGTCAGCACTTCTGACTGAATAGCGTGACATTTGCTAATTTCCAGTGTCCAATTATTGAATAATGTACTCTGCATGAATTTGTGTATGAAGAACTGTAGAAAAAAAGCATATTGGAGATGTGAGAATTTTTATTTATCTTATGCGTTCATTTTACTCATTTTTATGTGGATTTTTGTTCACAGAACAAAATGAAATTACCTATAGGGCAAATTAAATCTAAGCTACTTTAGATAACCGTTTCATATTAGTTTAAAACTCTTGAAAAACTTCCAAGATAAAGTCCTTCTGGAATTAACTGCAGAAACTACGAAAAACACTACATCGAACAGAGTGGCCACCCTCTTCGTAGCCACCTACATGAACATCAACTAGCAGTGAAGCGTGGTGACATATCCTCACTCATATCAATGCATACGGACAACTGTGGATATGAATTTCACCGGGAAAATGTGAAGATCCTGGATAGAAGAAATACAAAGAATGCCAGAGGATTTTTAAGGAGCTTGTTATTCAGGTCAATCCCCAATCAACAGATATGTTGACACTGACTCAATCTACCAACCAATGAGAAACAACAAGACGGTCAAAGTGCTGATAATCGAGACAACCAATCAGAATAAGTATGAAAACAATGACAATACCTTGACAGAAACAACCAATCACACACAAGGCCATCAAGACAAGCTACTCAACAACTTGTGCAGAAAACCTAATAGCTCACTTTTTTCTGAATTTTGTTCTGATGTTGTCTAGAATGACAATAAAAGCTTCATTATTAAACTATCCAGCTCAGAGAACACACCACCATAATTATCCTCCTGAGTTACAAATATTATCCTTCATCTCAAAATTATGTCATCCAAAACACTAAAATAAATTTTTGTTTGACCTTGTGATCCTACTAAGGAATAGATTTTGGTCTTTCTCATCTTATACACTTTTTAGAAATTCCTAATATATCACAAATAATTATTGAAATGTGTAAAAGCATGTTCATATCATAAATGAATTACCGAGTTTAAGTATTTTTGATATCCCGCTTGGTGTTATCATCAGTGTTGCTGGGATATGTGGCGAATTCATCCTGTACTCAATATTTTAATGTTGATGTTCATTCTTCTTGACTGTTATTGAAAGGTTTTTTGTTTATATTGTTGTGTTGTCATTGTTGGCAAACGTATTTCGATTGAATATTCAACTAACTTGAATTCTGACCTTCTTGTTGCTGCTTGCGTTTTCCATTCTTTGATAAAAATGGGTACATATCAGTTTATCTGTTGAATAGTGTAAAAGTTTTACGTTCTCAGAAATTCATATTTTCCTTTATTCAAAGTTTCTACATTTTCCTAGTCGAATTCATATCCGAAATTGTACGTTTTCTTTGATATGGACTAAGATACTTTATGATGCTTAGCTGCCAAGTAGATGCTTATATAGTAAAAGAGGAAAGCATCTCTGTTTTCGTAGTTGGGGAAATTCATTGCCTTGATTATTTTGCTTGTATCGCATCATCATGGTGTATTTCGATCCCTATGAGTATCAACTAGTAATGATATTTTTAAGATAATACTTTTTTCAGAGAAGATTAAACTGATATTGGATTAGGTGTTAGATAATAGAAGTAAGTTGATAGGACCAAGCTTGGCAGCTGGATTGGCTAGCGCTTAGTGGCCAATCCGTGTACAAAGTCCAGTGCTACAGTAGGTCAGTCGTGGCATGAGTAACTCATGGTTGCTGCCCCTGTATTTAACATTGACTGTTGCATGTTTGAGCCTCAGATGGGTTTCCACAAGTTTACAGATACTTTTTACTGACGAGTGCCAAACACACAGCTTAAAGCTAGTCGACCGATAACAGTGCACCACAATTTGCTGTCACATAGCCTTTTGGTCATATTAAAAACCTCAGCTTTGGATTTCGATCAACATTAAAGAATCGATAGATTTATCGGTTATCTTCTTGTAAATCAATTGTAAACAACATTTATTATTAAATGTTGCTAAAATGACTGTAACACTTGTAAAAGGTGTAATTCTTGATTTATAGTTATGAAAATTGATAATTATACAAGTAACATGTATTTGATGTGATATAAATCAAAAGTAGTTATTACTATCTGTTAGTTGTTCAACAGTGTTTAACTTGCGTACATTATTGCACATTTAAACGCTAAAATAAAATTTTAATTTCACTTCTATGTGTTTATGTTTATTGGCATACAGGATGTTCACGTCAATGATAATCATAACAGTCATGATAATAGTAATAATAGTTCAAAAATGAATTGGAATCCATTTTTCGATAATTTAAATCAAACAAACAATCACGCACTTATACCGCATCATGCTAATATAACAGACGAAAAGTAAGTAAATCTACTTTTTTAAACATTACACGATACATACTTTCGACTGACTGGAATGAGCAGTTGTAGTAGAGTCACTTCAATTAAAAATGCTGACTAACCAGATCAGGGTTATCTGAATGCATCAGACGACTATTTTTCTCATTTTGGATTTAGTATGTCAATTATGTGGCCTGATTGAAGTGACTTTAAACAATTAAAGTGATCTACTTGACTTTAGATCAACACAGTGTGGTTAGGAAGTAGTTTCTGTCATTAGACTGTGAGAACATGAAGTATAAAACTCTAATAAGTGTAATTTATTTTGAATTATTCCTCTAAAATACTTCTACTTCATCACTCCTTTTATGGTGTTACATTCCAAAAACCATTTTCATAAGCTCTTTTCTAATGCCTCAATCATTATTGTATGATAAATATACAGAATCAAAATGATTAATTTTCATCTAAGGAAAGTGTCGGTACGCTGATGACATAGTCCTTTCGAGTGAAGATAGTAACGAAATGAAGAGTCTTCTGAACGAATAGGCTGGCAATTTGAGAATGTTTGGGGCTTCAGGCCGAGTTCATCAGTGGTTAACCCAGATAAATTAAGCTAACGGAAACGAATTGTTCAGCTAATCTGAATGTGGTTAGCTGACTTGCGTGGACGAGTATACCTCACATGAAATGATCCATTTTCAAATGATTCAGAGATTACACAGTCCACGTTGACATTTTCACAGCTAAGTAGTCTTTCAGCTGCCAGCTCAGCTGTGAGAAATGTCAACGTGGACTGTGTAATCTCTGAATCATTTGAAAGTGGATCATGCTATTTGATATAAGACAATTTTTACATCACGGGAAGATTTTAAAGTTATATGAAGACCGAAAATATGAATTAAAGTTGAATGGACACAAAGAAAGATTCAACAATTCAAATATTTTTGAGATGAATGGGGATTTTTAATTTCAAATATTCACATTTGAAGATATTGAACCATGTTACTTAACTTTGTAACTGTTTGCATATTGAAGGGAAATACACTGAAGAAAGAGGACATTTCAATAAACTGGGTGGGACGTGGGTGCAGAAATACAAGTCAATAGAAATCAATGAACCACTAAAGATTTACACTTAAAGAGTAGTGCAAGTCACTCAACGTCGCCAACTACTGATTTCTAATACCTATGCAACGCTAGTCAAGATTTATACGATTCTGTACGGAATTCATGGATCAGTTATGTATTTTAATTTAAGCACCACTAAACGTTTTTCAGTATTATACTGTACTAGCTCAACTATGAGTGGAGAACATGCAGTGTAACTTATATTCAAATTGTCTCAGTCATATCCAAATCAATTGATTCATATTTCTTGCAAAAAGTCCTGCACATTATTATAAGTCAACTTAGTTCAAAAGTAAATTTTAGAGAAAAGATCAATGGTCACTAAATTCAATAGTCTAATGAGCAGGCTGTCGAAAACAAATGTAAAATACTTGAAGTTTACGGGGAAGAATTAACTAGTTGAACTGACTAACAGTTTCAAACTAGGCTGTAGTAGCATTTTACTGAAATTGCAAAAATATATTGTAATACTGGATTTATAAGCATATTTTCTATCCTTAGAAATACAAATAACCGGTAATCAAACAAAGTTCACATCTGTATTATGGTTTTGACATGTATTGCGTATCGCTAACCACCGCCTACCTCGACGTGAAATGCTAGAAGTTGGATTAGGCTCATAGTGACCAGACCAAGACATAGTATCAGTACATGAAGTCTCTGACTGTTTGTCTAAGTCGTGGGAAGTGTAGTGTATCTGGTTGAGGTCCTTGAGAAGAATTGAATCGGTGGTTGAAGATTCTTGATGAAATTCCTGAAAGTCAGTCACAATGAAGTAGATGTATTCACTCTTCTGATGCCTTGCAAATTTTGAGTGTTTTGGCTAAAACTTATCTTGAAATTCCTTCTCCTATATACATTTATCTCCTTTGATGTCAGTCTTTTTCTATTCACTTGTTCTTTGTATACTACTTGGAAATTTGGTGACTTGGACCGATGCATTCGTGTACGAAGTTCTACGTTGATTTTGTCTGTCTGTATTATTGTATAACATTTAGATAAACTTATGTCAGCCGGTATTCCTAATATTCCTGTATATGCTAGTAGTAAACTAGTAGACTCTTATGTTTGGAAGTTATGCAGAAGACAGACTAGTATAAACTTCAATGTTTTATGTTTTAGGAAAATAAAATACTTCTCGCCCTTTATATTGTAGGCTTTGAGAATAAATGAGGTTATAGATATTTTGAAATCTTTAGGTAAACAACTTTTTAAGCGGTTAGTCCCTGGGATAAATTTATGTAGCGTAATAAGATGAAGATTATCTGAAACACTCATGAACTTTTAGAATTTTTTTTATGAAAATCGACAGAAAGGTCAATTAGTTCACTAGAATATATCAAAATTGGGTGGGTGGAAGGAAACGCAAGATCTGAATCGTATCATCCTTGTTAATTCGCATAGAAATAATCTAACCAGTCCATGTGTAATCAAAATGTTCGAAATGTATACCACTAATAGATAATATTTATACATATACAGCAAACTAGATGCTTATAAGTTAGGCCGATCATTTCTAAGTGATATTCTGCTATTCACTGCATAGCCTGCTATAAATAATGGGAAAGAGGACTCTACGAAAAATAACAGTAACTTGGTTTTCTGCGCATTGGTAAAAATATATTAACTGCCAAATAACCTTATTTCTACTACTGGTAGAATATCTGCTATTTTAATCCATAAACTTGATCCTATGTTTTGTGTGTTAGTGACAATATTTCTAGTTATAGAATGTATGTATAGCTCAATCAGTCCACCACAAGGTAGATTTTAGTTTCTAATATTAATTTTTTTAGGGTCTGGGGACAGTAAGTATTTTAGCACAGTGAACCAATGACTTCATAGTCCTTGGAGAAGATCTGTCTGATCATGTCAATATAGTGTTTTTCTGACAATACGTCAACTCAGTATTTTCATCTACAAACATTTGTGTACATGTGTTCGCTTAAGTTTCTGCAGGTAATTGGTCATCTTTAATTATTACGTAAGTAGAACAAAGAACTTATACCATAACGAAAATTAAAGCTTATAATCTCAAAATGCACAAACGGATTTATGAAGTTGAATGTAAACCCTCTGACATAATGTTGATTTCATCTTTTTCCCTCCTTGATATCTCTGTGATGGCTGACTAGATGAATTCAACAAGAGTTAGGAAAACTTTTATTTCACTTTGGTTATTTTATGTTTTTTACCAACTGGTAATACACGAAATTCACTTAAGTTGTTTTAGGGGAATGATTGGATTACTAGTAATGAAACTGTCTGTGATAAATTCTGATTGTTAGACGCATATTTACAAAAATCAATCTGGAATTTCTTACCAGGACAAATCACATTAGTTAGTTCATTGAAAGTGTTCAAAGAAATACTTACTAAACAGGAAAAGAGAAATCCAAGACGCGCGTTTCGTCCTATTTGGTACTCGTCAACTGGATATACCTGCATCCAAGTATGGCAGAGAGAGATTACAAGTATCAGACAACACCCGGTACCCGTTGCACACAAGGTGACTCTCTTTCCACAGTGGTCCAGGGGATAATGCTTTGGCGTTTGAAGCGATGGGTGCAGGGTTCCGGTCTCAGTGGGAACACCACAACTCATTGGGGTGCTGGTATATGCAACTGACAAGTCCAAAATAGGACGAAACGTGCGTTCTGGATCCCACTTTAAACCACTGAGCAGATTACTACATAATGGGCAGTCGGGTAATATCAAGGCGTCCACACAGGAACCCATCTGTCAAAGAGGTTGGGGGATTCAACCCAGTATGGTGACCAGAAGTTACAAGTATCAAGCAGCAGGAAGAGCAAAACGTTTTTGCTAAGATCAACCCACACTTCTGGTTTACTATCTTTATCACTGGAAACTGACAACCAGCTCAGGCAAATGTTTGCCAACTTGAATAGTTTGATCGGTATTAAATATCAATCTCTTTCATTTAAAGCTATAGAAATAAACGTTTGGAAGCAATTTTTATGTTGCCTGAATTGCCTATATATATATATATATATATATATATATATATATATATATATATATATATATATATATATATATATATATATATGTCTCGTCAGTCTCTTTTATCTACGAGACCATGTGACTTAGCTTTTCCAGGCAACAGGAAAGGCTGATAACATACAACATTCTATTAATCATTCGTTAGCTGTAGAAGTTCATAGATGAGGCTAGTGGTACAGTCTACTGTATTTAGCCTAACATTCCTCTGGTAGATTGATTCTCCTAGCTGACGTTTTTGAAAGTTTCATGTGAAATGATCTTTGGCTAACTTTATGCGCGCAGTTGGTCTTCTGTGAAAATGGAGATGAACTTCTTGTATTGCCAAACTAATCAAATAAGGTTTCATGTTCTACAAGGTTTGGATTGTGGAACTGTGGCTCATTGGTTTAGGCAGTTGACTTTTAACCAATGGGTGACGAGTATCAACGAACAGCAATTCACCACCATCTTCATCCTGAGCTACAAATGGTTTCCATCATTTCAATCCTCTACAGTTTAGTACGCTCTATCTTAGTATACTTCAAAGATGTAGGGTATATTTTGAAGATATATATCAGAAGGCTACAGATGTGTAATCACCTTTATTTACCTCAAAGACGATGTTTAGATGTAGTTATTATCATGCTTGGCTGAAAAGCAGTAAAAATAACTTTCTCTTGCATTGTGCCTTTGGTAGAGAGTTTCGTATCTTCATGCTTTGATAGGTTATACTTTCTATACCCCGATTAGAGTTCACATCATTTATCATTAGCACTTTTACTGCATTTAAAAGGTCTGTCTTAATTGCTGCAACTGTCACTGAAGCATACAAATACATAGACACCATAAAAACTTGCATATATCATCTACCCCTTCTATTTGCTACA